TGGTGGAAAACACCGAAACGTTTTTTTAATTGATAAATAGACAATAAATGACTGAAGAACCCAGGATTTGATTTTAATTTGGAATTGAAACACAGTCAGGAAAGTACGTACAATTTATAAGCGCTGCAATGACTGATGAATTTAATGCAAACTTGTTTATTTTATGTTAATCAAGTACATTGCTAAATAACTTAATCAGCCAATATTTTTCCAACTTCCGTTTGTTAGTCGCCTGGGTGCCTTGCTTTATTATCAATATCTTGAGCAAATATTTGAAAAGACACCTAAGAAGATACGTTCTGGGAAAGTTAGTTATCAACGGAATCAACGACCTGGAGCTCAATCACTTCAGGCACCAGGCTGGCCAAGCAAAATGCTTCAATAAAAGTCAAGTTTCTAAGCGATTTATTATCACAACTTGCAGACTGGGCACACTTAGAAAACAGAAAATTAATATTTTCAGGAAACTTTGTCACTATCATAGCGCTGTTTCGATGTCCCAAGCTCAAATCGCATGCTACAACTGCATTCGTGATATCACTATGTGCATCCGACTTCCTTTTTTGTGCCGTCAACTTACCCCTTACCGCCGTTAGGTACATCTCTGAAAGTTGGATACTTGGAGACGCCCTTTGCAAATTATTTCCTGTGCTCTTCTATGGAAATGTTGCTGTTTCTGTTTTGAACATGGTGGCCATCACGTTAAATAGGTAAGACATTCAAGGAACAAACCAGAACTTACCACTGAGCTACAAATTGAATCATACTATGAAGGCTTTCACGGCCGATCAGATTACATTTAGAAATGTTTTCCGGGCTAAGAATTCATTCTAAGTCGGAAAGCGCGGAAGATTACTTCGCCCACTGCCTCATCGCCTTTGAAAATGTCCACCGCAGTTGTAGACGAAACGTCAGGAAGAAATTCCGATAGACCACGGCTTCAAAGCCCGGAAAACATTTCTAAATGTAAATTGAATCATCATCTAAAAAATGTGTAATAAATATGTCCAGTCAATTTTTCTAAAAAACCATTAAAACAATTTGGACGGTTAAACAAGGATGAGTAAATACAGTCTCTCAGCAATAATTAATCTTAATTAATTTTGTTCATAGTGCCGTGTCAAATGTCAACTAGCAAAGTTAATTAAATCCATCTCGCTGGCTTAAACGATCTTAGGTTTTCATTGTTGAAATGAGTCATACAGCTGCAGAAACTTAGAAGCCAGGTCTAAAGTTAATAAAAAAAAATGACCAACGACGAAAAATAATCTCATTTGTATAAATCCTGATGCATGGCCAGGTTTGCTTAAAAGCTGCATATGAAAATTCTACCAGCAGAAACACTTCACATTAGATGAAATGTAATGATGTTTTTATGGTGCTTGAGAACTGAATCTGTTTTGCTCGTATGCGCCATTGAGCGCGCTTCCTTTTAAATATAATACATGTGTTTGATCTCAGTTTTAATTTTTAATTGGGATAAAGGGCCATTGCTCTCGTTCTGGCACATATTCATGACGAAAAATCATATTTTTAGATCTCGACTGCAAAAAGTATCTAGTCGAGCCGATATTTATCTTTCGTATAAAAAATGACCTATTATTGAGGTCATAAGTCAAGTCAATAAAGACTTATTTGTGGAATTCATCACATCGCGCGTTTCTCGTCAGTTGCAACTATTAATTTTTATCTTTCATGGACTTGTGAGATCGTGTTGCAATTTTCACTCGCATGTTTTGTAAATCCAATAAAGTACAATATTTGCTAAAGCATTTCATGCGCTTCTTCCTGGTTGTGTATAATGCTTATTTATATTCTTTATATGCCCTGATGGCCCCAGTCAAATCAGTCCATCACATTCAGGTGTCGAATTACCTAAACAAATCAATCACTTGCCCGTGAGTAATTTGATAATGCGAAATACGACACTAAGCTTGTACCGAAAATCTCCATTAAATTAAATGTTATCAAAAACATCCATAATGTTCGTTAATAATTGCCTGGTTTACAATGGCTTCTTTGAACTGATTTTTCAGACCAGAGTTTGAGTCATTGCTATGAATTAAACAGACTTGTCATTGTATTTTTTGATTGGATGAAGGTATTTGAAGCATACAGCGTGTTTCAAAAATGAATGCTCGTCTTTGGCAACCTTAAAAATTGCCGCTAATCATTGAATAAAAAATTATGCGTGGATGATTGATCTAGATGATATTTATTTTGCTTGTTATCTGCCTGATGGGGCTAAATAAATACCCGAAATGAACAGTTGCAGCCTAAGCCAGGTTGGTTTATCTTAAAGACCCACACAGAAACAAGATGTGAGAAACCAAACTACCCGTTTATTCACGTATTTATTTTGGGTTTAGATACGTCCTGATCACGCTATACGATTACTACACCAAATTTTACTCGAAGTTATCCATTTGCTTGCAGCTGCTTTGTACCTGGGGCATAGCATTTCTCATAATGGTAAGATCCCTTTGTTTGTCGAATTTGATACATTGATGTGTATTGAGGGAGAGCTGGGGTTTACCCTACGTATGTACAGTTACAGGGGGCGGACTGATACGTAGAAAGTAATTCTCTGGTATTTCTTTCAGATTCCGCCCCTGACTGGAATATGGGGTCAACTGGGCTTAGACCGATCGACGTTTTCCTGTACCATTTTAGAAAAAGACGGAAAGTCCCCTAAGAAAGCTATATTTATATTTGGATTTGGCTTTCCCTGTCTTGTGATCATCATAGCTTATTCCTGCATTTACTGGACTGTTCGCAATTCGAAATTGAGACTTAGATCTCATGAGTAAGTATTTGCAGTCTCACTGGTTAAGGCCGCCTTGAGAACGAACATTTAATTTTATAACATTTGAAGCTTCATCTACTCACAGTCGATATTCGCCAGTAACCTGCGATCTATTCATTTTAATTGTAAAATTTGCTGATTAATATGGACATGGTTACAGTATGATATTAAAATCGTCATTACACGACCACCTATATCGTTCTGTGTCACATTGTGTTGTCGGCTTCTTTTTCTGTTTGAAATTCAATAAAATTCAGCTATTCTCCGAATAATGGTGGTGATACGATTATTTTTTTACAGATCAATGCCACCTCAGCGAACATCAAAACGCGAGCGGGATGACAATCGGCTTACACGATTAATGGCGTTAATATTTTTTTGTTTTTTGATTTGTTTCCTACCCTTGATGTTAGCTAACGTTGTGGACGACAAGGTGTCCATTCCCGAACTGCATGTATTTTCATCCATTCTCACATGGGCTTCTTCCGTCATTAATCCATTCATATATGCTGCGACTAACAAACAATATCGGTCAGCTTATAAGAAGCTACTTTCCATTGTCAGGTCCAGCTATACAAGTGGGCCTGACTCAATGCATTCCAAACAAGACAAACTACAGAGTGTCAGCTATAGGCACAAGGGTAGCAGTAGTGCCATTGTTTAAACGAGATTAACTATCACAGTTTAAACTTTAAGGATATATTTATTTTTGTGTGAGTGGAAAGTCTGAAGCAATACCGTTGTGTTGCGGAGGAAGTTTTTGCAAATTTTGTGCCATATTTGTTCATAAATAAGTTTTAGCTTTTATGTCAGGGTCTACAAAGACTGGCAATTTTGGCTTTTCCGCCTCTCATAATTAATATTGTTGATATTATTTATGTGTGAACCCTAGCTAATATATTTAGGATATTTTATAACAATCCTAGTTCTACGAGAAGTGATTAAGACTGACTATGGGTGTACACAGTACGCCCTGCCATTAATTATGACCATGTGATATCCACAATAAAAATACTGTTGATGCCAAATTCTACGTAGGAATATGAGATTTTATCTATGTTACAAAGTTTTCTATAGAAACACGATGTATTTAATAGATTACGTATTTACAACTTGTATAAGAGAGTTTTAATTAAACCACCCTGCTATCTCCGCTTGACATTCTACTACATTTTTATGAAGATTTCTCAACAAAGGTTTTGAATATATTTGAAATTTTCATAAACAGACCTCGTGAAAATCATAATTTCTCAAAAATATAAAAAGTACATATATTTAATTTGATATTTTTATTTAAATCAGCAAAAATGCAAATATGCTTCTACTTTACCGACGATATCGTCTTTGCTATAGATCCAAACACCTTATAAAGACTCATTGGGATCTTCTTAGATCTGAAACAATCCACTGAGCTCAAAACACATGTGTGTGAAATTTTGATGTTGGACCGAAAATTTCATAAGAGTAGCGGTCGATTTTTTGTTCGAAATATCGCGTTATATGTATATCATTTCATTCATTTGAGTCACAGATTTCTTTTTTGTATCATTCTATAGAGAATTGGTATTTCGATCTAGTTATAACAACGTGCGTGAGTAAATGCTGGGGGTTTTGGTACAAAAAGTATCACACAATTTTAATATTAACATTTCATTAAAAAAAACATTTTCTACAGAATGTCAATCTTTCAAGTTTCAACTGGCTTGAATTTGCAAGTTGGAATTTTTTATTGAAGAGTCTGCAGTTGTGTAAAAGCGTTCATTTTCAAATAAACATTTAAAAATCGTGCAAAATTCAGGGATTCTGATGTGATTTTAATGAATTTTTGACATTTAGGGCGCACTCTTCTTTGCTGAACGCACAACTGAACTTGTAGAGTATTTTTCGTTTTTGAGTTTTTCGTTACGTTATTTGAGCAGGGGTAGATTTTTTTTTTACGAAATAAAATTATCTCAAAATACTAGGAGTTTTACATCATTTTCATCTGAATTAAGCTTATAATGTAACTAGCTGATTAAAAACCACGCTAGAAGCATGAAATCCAAAATAATCGACATTTTTTGGCCCATTTTAAGAAGTTTTCAACGGTCACGAGCTTTAATCAACAATATCTTCCTTATGCTTCAAAAAACGTTATAAAGGCACATTGGGGCTCTTGTTAAGTCGAAAACCATCCATTGAACTCTAAAAACATGCATATGAAATTTAAATTTTTTACCGCAGATTTCGCTCGATTTTCTGGGAGCACTCGTTCGAAAAGCTGATTTTTTCATTACATTATTTCTGTTGGTAATATGTACAACTAAAAAAAATAGAAATACCAACAAATCTTAGTTAATGTTACTTGAGAGAAAAACTAGTTATCGATTCGTTCAAGGGCTCATCTGGTTGACAAATTTGCAAACATTTTTTAACACTTTTTAGGATATTGTGAAAAGAAATTCTTCCTAACGATTCTCTAGCCATTCATTCTGCGAATCCTGTTAGCGACTACTTAAAAGAAAAACTCGAAATATATTAATGTACGTTTTATTTTGTAAAAAATAATAGATAATGTATAATATTTCACAGAGTAGAAAATATAATTAAAAATAGAAATACATGTTTACATATCATTAATAGAATTTATAAATAATAGCAGTTTTCCCGTAGCTGCTATAGGGTTTATAAACAGGAACTGAAAGTAAGGTTCTACTGCTGAGTGCAGTCCTAATTTTACCAACTAATCGTGACTAAATAGTTCATATGGTAAAAACAAATTGTCTTTTAATAATGGTTGACGTATATACATTTATATGTGATTAAAACTAAAACACAATACACGTAATAGTTCCTTGAATGCTTAAATTTCAATGCTCTAAATTTAATGGAATTAATGATTGATTTCATCAAATATATAACAATTTAGGCTCTTTATTCATTCCTTTTATATCACGTCTATTATTCAGTTTTTGCATCACACAACGATAGAACTATTATAATGAAAACCTTAGAATATGCGCTGCCTGTATCTAATTAAAGCATAATTGCAGGGAGACTAATTTAAAAAACGAAATTATTGTACTTATGCGGCATAACACGAAAACTATATAGACATACAGGGTGATTTAAGTAGACCGTGCAATAGAAGTTTTCCAGCTTACTGTTGTTTTAGAAACTTCAAATTTTGTTTTCCGTTATAACGAGTCGTGCCGGAGCCATGTAAAACACATTTAGCCTTCCAGCTGTACAGGGCGTATGAAAAGTATAATAAACTGACTTATTTTAAATGCAAACGCCTAATTTCCTGGTATTCCAGTTGCTTGTCTTATGATGACTCTCGACGTTTTTCTGTGAATTGCACTTTCTATTGTCTTCACGGTCCACGTAAATCACCCTGTATACCTATATAAGTCGGATTAACAGGGGCAAACAATAAACATTGTAGGAACATCGGATTATAAAGACCAAATTGAACTACTTATTTCTTACTGTGTAAATTGAACAATGGAGATGGTATGAGTTACATAAAATATGGTGATCAACTAATTATTTAACAGTGACCAATACAATCTAATTACGCATACATATAAAATATAATTTACTTAAAACTATTCAATTACTTTTCATTATGTTAATCACTTATTTTAATCAATTTTGAGTTTAGGTTAATTTCTTAAAAACCTATCCACCAAAACTCTTGCGATCAGAAATAAACCAAACAAACTTCTTACCCGTGTTATTGCAGACGTTTTCAAAGTGGATCTTGTAACGATGTTGAGCAAATATATCACTTATAAATGCAGTTAGAACTACATTCCGGAACAGGATCTCAAATAGAACACATTGCTGTTGGGCTCAAGTATCTTTTACGCGATTCAGAAAATTAAATTTAGGAAAATCTAAGAAAACGGTGTATGCGAGAAGATGATGGGAAAATAGACTTAATTATTCATTCCAAGGGAAGATTGCTGAAGAACAGTTTTTATTGTAGTAAGCAATTACTTGTGATGTAATTTTCAGTATTAGGCCATGCACATTTTGTAGAATTTTAGATGTGCAACAATTATTTTTCCATCATTCTTAGATTTAAATAACATTTAATATACCATGTTGGCGGCTATTTGTTTTGAGGGCTCATTTCTGGTCACAAAAAATCTTAAAAATAGATCATGTAAAAATATACGTGCCAACTTTCGATATATACAAATCAACGTTTTAAATATTAAAACTGAACCAATAACATACATAATACAATAAACAAAGATAGAACTTTGAATGAATTATCCGTACAGTCTTCAGACTCTATAGGTTACACAAAATGCAAACAACCTGCAAATGCATGGATGCCTGGTAATAGTGATTTTAGTGAATTAACTGTTAGCAGCAACATTGTTGAAAAATTTAACATTAAAATAGAAACTCATTCTAATGTTGCATTCGGCTAAGGCAATGATGATGGTAAAGCGATTTCTCACAACCCTTATCCTCAATTTGAATTTTTTTGAGTCTACTCTGCACTTTATGAACCTTCTGTTTTCAGGTTACACTAAATTTGCTAATACCTGCGCTAATTTTTCTACTGAAAACAGATTTATAGGAGCATCAATATTTCTATCTTTGGTAAAAAACGGTCGCTTAAGTCTATATTAAGATTATATTCGCGTGTTTTTTTATCCAAAATTGCGAGCTCCCTTTAAAATCGACGTGGCGCTCTCAGATATTATAAAAAATTCCCCAACATATACATTGTTACTGCTCCTTTGAGATATAGATAGTGATTGTTCTGTAATAAATGTCGATTGATTTTTTTTTGCTTCAAGGAGAAAAACTTATTTACAATTATACCTAACAGGGCAAAAGTTTTATGCGATCAAAAACTAAATAGAAGATGTGTAATATTTGCGTCTCGCGATATTTATCCCTGTAGCATTCCAGTTTCAACTGAATACATGTATATATTAGGAACGTTAACTAAGGCAATAACATTTTTCACAATTAAATAGGTCCATAAATCTGTTATTATAATTGCACGGGTCCTTCGGGGCGACTTTGAATCGCTTTCAAATTGGGTCTTTAAGGTACCAGCAAAAATACCGAATGAGCATTCTAATTTTTTGCGTAACACATACACTGATAAAAATTCATTGTTTTGTGACCCCTGATCCTTTTCTGCTTTTCCTTCTTGTCTATACTTACAAATAATAAATTTCAGTTCTGAAATATCTCCAATCATTCTCGCTGTATGAAAATACAGTGGCAATTATTGGAAATAAGTTCTTGTCATGGCAACTATAAAGCACTCTAATCGCCTTTCGACTTGTGTTGATTAAATTAATCAAAATAAACCATCAACGTTAACCAATTGATTTGCATCGCATATTAAACAAAATCTGTTAATTATTTGCGTAAGATTTTTTTCCGGTTAAGTTTCGCTTCGTTGTTACTACTATGCAGTAGCAACAAGGGAAGCCATATCAGAAATAGTTTTTTTTTGTATAAGTTTTATGTCATATAACAAGTGGCTGTGAAGCCACTTCCTCTACTGTTATAGGTTTCGTGTGAATAAAACCGATAAAAGTTCGGAAAAAGTTGTAATATCGATGCCAATCTATTTCCTGCCAATAAGACTACAACATTAGTTGAACGGCGATTTGCTGGCAATACATTTTTAATAAATTAGCCTAACTTACCGTAGCGAACTATGTAATGTCTCTGAGCATTTAGATCGTTTTCATTTAAATACCCTGTACATGTAAAAATAAACCAGCTGTTTACTACGATTTTTTTATTAAAATATTAGGAATCCATTTATTTTCTACCTTAGGTTGGAAAACACCCTGTGTTAAATTGTATGGTTAATCTTATTGGTAAACTATTTGAAGTTCTATAAGACAATAAACATTTAGTGCTCAACGGCATAACGTGAACCAAACGCAAACCAAACGTAAAAACGATGAGTTTCTGTATCGAGGAGAACGAGAAAAGTTAGCCATAATGAAAAAAAATTTGAAGAAGTTGAATAAAATTACAGCGAGTGAGCAAATTAAAGTTTCACCAGTGCGAGCAATTTTCACCTGGTGATAAACACGACTGCAAGTAGTCTCTAATTCTAAATAAGGTAATCAGGTAACAACAATGAAGCCCAGCAGTCAAGAGGCCTAATTCAATTTCATTCATATACGAGACAGGCTCATACCAATATACCAATGTGAATAAAGGTCACAATTGCAAATAACTGACTAAAACTCAGTTATTTAATTAACGGCATACTGGAATGTGCGCAATTTAAAGCCGTTGATGTAAAGATGCAGTTATTTTTTGTCAAATGACCACAGTTAAGACAAAGACAGGATCGGAGCTAAAACATATTCATGTTTAGGGAGTATCACTTTTTAAACAGAATACTCTCTACACATGACTCTATTCCTAACGGCCAAGCCCGGTAAGTTAATGCGAAAGCCTCTCTACAATAAACATAACAACTTCCCAAACAGGAAAATTGGGTCCACATATTGACAAACTGAGATATATGTTTTCATACGCAAACTTATTAAAATACTTCGCTCCTCAGAACGGGTTGTCATCAACATTTAAAGAATAAAAATAGGTTTTTATCGGTGTAGGTGACTGGAGATTATGCTTATTATAAAAAGGTGGAAACATTAGAAAATTTGGCTGTGAGCTGGTAGTGTTTCTTCTTGCATTTCAATTATCTGCCCATAAAACACTTACATTTAATACTGACACCGACCAAACACATTATGAAGAGAAGAACAACAGTATAGTGATAGAAACGTTCCTCAGATAACTGTATTGTTCTTCTTCTACTTAAAGATATACTGATTATATACTTAACAATGAGACTGGGCCTTTCCGTTTCTCGCTCGGTCCCCTCCTGCAAAACCGTTAGCCGTCCGATCCTCGGAGATACTGTAGAATTTCGGGTTGGGATCGACGTGGATGCTTTGTATGCTATCTGAGCGCTCAGAAGCTGACATGGCATAAGCTCCAGCTATGTGCACGTCAGGGGGAAGAGCATTCAATGGCGTCGAAGCGTCTGCATCATCTCCGTCACCCACTTTAAATAAGAGCAAAATTGCATAAATGGGCAATTACTGAAGCACTTGGAAAAATGTAATTACCATCTCCGATAGCAATTTCAGCAGTTGCAGCAGCTGCGGCTCTGATTGCTCGAGTTTCCGCGCCTTCGGCACTGTGGTAAAATGAGACACTCGCAAAGTGACCACTCGAATCGGGCAACAGCATCTCGCATAAATGCATGAAGGTCGGCCTCCTGCCTGGCTTCAAATCCCAACAGAGCCTCATTATTTCGTAAAGTTTGTCGGGGCAGTTTTCTGGACGTTCCATTATTCCTCCTTCCATTATGTACCTTAACACTTGCTCATTGGAGAGTCCTTGGTACGGCTGAGAAGCCAGCGTCGCCATTTCCCAAAGGACCACTCCGTAGCTCCATGCGTCGCTGCTGCTAGAGAAAACCCCATCTTTGAGGCTTTCTGGTGACATCCATCGGACTGGCAAAAGGCCCCTAGATCCCTTACGGTAATAGTCAGTCTCATAGATATCTCGAGTCATCCCAAAGTCTCCAATTTTGACTGTTAGGTTTTCTGATACCATACAATTCCGAGCTGCCAAGTCTCGGTGAACAAATTTCTTTCCCTCCAGATAGGCCATTCCATCAGCGATCTCAATCGCCATTTGCAGAATTTCTTTCAGACTTGGAGGGGGATTTCCGTCGTTTTCCGGCCTGTGAGATCTCAAGTACGTTTTAAGATCTCCATTGACCATAAGTTCCATGATCACCAAGGCTGGCTGCCCTTGTGAAACTACCCCTAATAATTTCACTACGTGCGTGGTGTTGAATGCTTTCATCACTGACGCTTCATTTAAAAAGTCTATTCTCTCTCTGGAATAAATTATTTTGAGTTAGGATAAGCGAAGTCGATCCACTCTGTATATGCGAATAAGGTTAATCGATTGCGATAAAACCTTGACTGAAATACACCTAGTACTGAAGCAAAGCAGCATCGATTATTGGCTGACTATCGACATTCGAAGGAGTAAGAAGTGATAATGAATTGACATTGATTTTTTATCCAATCGGACATGATTCCTAATAACTTCGACTAATGTTTCATGTCAATGAATTTACTGCGGATAGATTAGATCCGGCTCAAAGAATCAATATTGGTGCACAGGGAAAAATCCAGGATATTGCAGCTTTGCCATGTAAATAGTGCAAACACCAAGGAGCATATGAATTGATATTTGACCGGCTATTAGAAACATTTCTTGAATTGGTAAACGATCAATTGTCGTCAATCGGTGTTGATTGTAGATGATGGTAGTAAACACATTGTTGCARCATGAATAACTGTTTTACAATTYACTAGACGGTGATTAACAACACTTAATTTAATTCCAAATTAAAATCAAATCCTGGGMTYTTCAGTCATTTATTGTCTATTTATCAATTAAAAAAACGTTTCGGTGTTTTCCACCATCATCAGTTTCAATGTGTAGCGTTGTTGCTACTTTAAGCCATGGCATGTATTTTGGAAAAAATACATGCCAAGGCTTAAAGTAGCAACAACGCTACACATTGAAACTGATGATGGTGGAAAACACCGAAACGTTTTTTTAATTGATAGACAATAAATGACTGAAGAGCCCAGGATTTGATTTTAATTTGGAATTGAAACACAGTCAGGAAAGTACGTACAACTTAATTTAATGCAAATTAATAACCAGGACGACAATAATTTTATAGCAAGTGTTTCTTCACTTACCTACTCGTGGCATGCTCGTTGACAGTCTTCACGGCGCATCTGAACGAGCCTTTAATATTTTGAAAATCTCGTCCTATTCCTTCCCAGACCATTCCAAAACTTCCTTGCCCCAATTCTTTAAGCATTTCCACATTCTTTCTGGGTACTTCCCACTCATCTATGGTGTACACTGAAGGCTGATAATCGGGATTAACAGCAGGAACAAGAATAGCTCTCTCCCGGTCTCGCACTGATTTTTTGTAGAAAATCCAGGCGCCTCCCATTATGCACTAGCAAAGTCAAAAACATCAAAATCTGCCGTGTCTTCGTAAATGGCACGTGAAACTCACCATAAAAATAAACAGCAAAACTAGACTTGTAATAAGGACGGTATTGGGACTACTTTCGGGCACGTAAAATACAAGAGTTGGTGATGGATCTCCCATGCCATACAACGACGATGCAGTCAAAAAAAGACTATGATTTCCCGACAACAGATTCGGAATAGTATGCACTAAATATAGGCCATTTTTGCTGTAGTTTTTAAAGTCTCGGAATGAAATACACTCTTTAGAAGGATGTGACTGGAAAAAAATTGTCGAGTTTTAATTGATGTATTTTATATTGCGTGATTATCACTGTTTTAAATCCAGTTTAAATATTTTTCGACTTTGAGGTTCGGTCTGTTTAATTCGCGGTTCATACTATGAAGAAATATTTTAACTCCTCCATTTAATATTAAACTGCTCACTGAAACATCTTGAAAGTCTTGCCATGGATGCAGGCAGCGAAAAACATCTAGTGATTTAACAAATAAGGATTCAAAATGGCTGCAATGTTTTTAATAGCAATAAAATTGAGTATTAAACAAGGTTTTTTTAAATAATTCGAATTTTATCAAAATTTAATATTATTTTCATGTGTCAAATACTTATTAAGTTATGTAAACGTAATTCGTAGTGTAGGGCAACAAAAAAATCAGATTTTATATCCCAATGATAATAAACTTACCATTTTATACAGGGTGTCCACAAATTTAAACTAATCAAATTAGAACATTAAGTGGCTATAACTTGATTAATTTAAATACAACCCCATCTTTTTTAGCTTACCAGGAAATGCAAATTTTTAATTACCTATCGAATGGTACTAGGATGTTTATAACTAAGTTTTTGCCTTTTTACAAAATACACCAAATAATGGTTCTGTGCACCATTTGGTGTTTTTTTAAATTAAAAGGTTAAATAACATATCAACAATAACATAAAATAAAGGCAAATTATTTATAACAAATGTTCGAAATGTTGACCGTCCATTACCAGGCACTTGTAAATTCTTTTTTCAAAACAACTGCTAACTCTGGACAACATTTGCGGGGTTACAGTTTTAAAAGCGTCTCTTATGCGTGTTTTCATATCGTGTGAAGTTGTCGCAAGCGTATGGTAGACAATTCCTTTTATGTACCCCACAAAAATAAATCTAGTGGAGTTAAGCCCGGAGATCTGGGGGGCCAATTTTGAAACCCATTTCTGCCAATCCACCTGTTTTGAAAGTTGGCATTTAAAAATTGCC